AAAAAAAAAAAAAGAAAGAAAGAAAGAAAGAAAAGAAAAGAAAATAGCTCCAGCCAAAGTCCTTGGCCTGGCCCTCACTGGTCTGGCTTGGGTCATGTGTTTATGCCAGGCCCAGTAACTAGAGCCAATGGGAGGGATGCTCTGATCAACCCATTCTAGGCAACAGTCCCATTCCTTGGTTGTGCACAGAGTCAGTCCCATCAAAACCTCAGGGAGTCAGCCTGATGCATCATTAGATGACCTGGGAGAAAGGGATTAAATGCTGGGTGGACAGAGACAACAGATGCTCACCAGAGAACACCTTAGTGGAAATGGTCCCATATGGGATGATTGCTGCTTAGTGGCCCCTACCTCTGAGGCTGTGGCCTTCAAGGTATAATCTTCCAGGAAGGGAAAGGCCCCCTCTGGGAAACTGCCACTTTTCTGTTCAAGAAACTGCTGCATGCCAGGCTCTGGGCTGGGCACTGAGAAGGTAGAGGTAGAGATAAGGAGGACCCAGTCTGTGTCCTCAAGGAGCTCAGAGGAGAGAATCACATATACCACTGAGCTCAAATACAGGAGGGCCCTCTGCACAAAGGCCTTGGAAGTAAGGGAGGTAGGAAGCCAGTGAGGAGGGAGGCAGCTCTGTATCTGAGGACTTGGGCTTTGGAGGATGAGGGAAAAAAGGGGAGGGGTTGGGGAGGGCATTCTAGACTTGGGAACAACATGTTACAAAAGAAAGGATGTGTTGTATTGGGCTGCATAGGCTCAGGACATGGTGGCAGAGGGCAGAAAGGGGGTGTCTCATGGTGAGGACCTTGGATAATAAGGTTGGGCAGAGATATGGGCAGTGGGGAGGGACTGAAGGTTTTTGAACAGGAGTAATTTTATTTTAGAAAGGCACTGGGGCTGTACTGGAAGATCCCCAGTCTCCTCTCTGGGGCTGTGGATCGCTGATGAACCTCCAGAACTGTGCTTCCTAACACATCTCCCACTGGAGGTACTAATGCTGTCTCTCTTTCTTTTTAACCCTCTGCCTGCCTGTCTTGCTGTCTGTCTTCCCCACCTAACCCCTTCCCCTGACCTGTCCCTCAAGGATCGCTGACAAAGCATTCTACCAGCAGCCAGATGCTGATATCATCGGCTACGTGTATGTGTCTCTTTTGCGCCTCTGTCGGGGGCAGCTGGAGAGGGTGTGTTCCCGTGTATGCTGGCACACAGCTTCTTGAATCTCCTGCTTGTAGGGTATAAATGAGTGTGGCTGAACTTAGGGCAATGATCAGAGCAGAAGGCGAGCCCCTGGGAGGGTGCAGGCACAAAACCTGGGCTCCATTCCTCCAGCAAACTGGAGGCAGCTTGGCTAAATTGAAGCCCTGCAGGGTGCAGGCAGAGAGGAGCAGCAGGCCATTCCTGTGTGGGAGGGGCAAACAGCAAAGCAGCCCCAGCGCCCTCCCTCTGAGATGCCTCTGGTGGATGGGTGGGTGGGGGTGAAGGGGTCTTTCTATTGAGTGAATCAGACACTGAGCACAGGATGCTGGACGTATATGAAGAGGAATGAGACGCCCTAATGAGCACATCTGTTCCCTGCCTGCCCCTTGCCTCCCAAGTACACTGACTTTGGCCATGAGTCTCTGCACTGGCCAACATGGGCCCCTCTCACATGTTTCAAATTTGTGGTCTAGTTGGTACTATGACCAATCTAGATTTGGAATGGCAAACAGGTTTCATCTCATGCCAACCTTAATTAATTGGTAGTGACAGCCTGGAGGGTGGTGTTGGGAACCCTGAAGCTGACGGGGAAATGCAGTGAGTGATATCCACCATGTATGTGTGCCAAGTACTTACTTGCTGATTCCCACTTGGGGTACACCCTTCATGGAGCACAGGGCACATCACGGCCTTATTCTCCTCCCTCCCATCCACTCTACCATCTGCCCAGTACTCACTGGCACTTACCCTATGCCAGACTCTGGCCAAAAAGTAGTAAGATACACACAGACTATCTTCCAAGTTGCTCACAGTCTGGAGCATGTTGTGGTAAAAGCCTCGTGGAAGGACACAGCAAACTCTGGAAACCACCCTGTCCTGGGGGAGCCAAGGCAGGCTTTGGAGATGTGGGACCCTCTGCTGGACCTTAAAGTGTGGGGAGTTTTCTGGGTGGGGAGCATGGGGAGGGAAGGTAGGGGAAGCAGCTGGGGAAAAGGTATGGAGACAGGAATGACCCATCTGCCTACAGTGGCCAGGCTGAGGGGACAGATGGGAGCTAAGGCTGGGAGGTGGGCCTGAGGCCAGTTGCAAAGCTCTAATTTTGCCAGGCTAAGATGCTGAGACTTGATCCAGCAAGGGGTGAGGATGTCAGATGGGCACAGGGCTATGGAATACCACAAGGAGCTTGGTGCTTCTGTTGAGCCTGAGGAAATGGCCTAGGGTGGCACCCAAGACAGCCTTGAAGGGAGGAAGAGTCTACACTGGGGCTTCTCAGACTTCCACATGCCTGTGAATTGCCAGGTGGGTTTGTGAAGTCAGATACAGATTCTGATTTGGTAAGATTGTGGTAAAACTCAAGATTCTACATTTCTCCCAAGCTCCATGGTAATGCTGATGTCACTGGACCACAGACCACACTTTGAATTCTAAGGATAGAAGGAAGCCTTTTGACCCCAAAGGGACAGCTCCTAGAATAGCTTTCCTCACACACACTCACCATTCAGCTTCACACACAGTACTTTTCCAAGCCTGCACACACTTGCCACCTCATCAGGTTCTCAGGCCAATGAAACAATCAGGAAGGTTGAGGTTAGGAAATGAGCATGGCTCAGTGCCCGTGGCTCAAGTGGCTAAGGCGCCAGCCACATACACCTAAGGTGGCGGGTTCAAATCCAGCCCAGGCCTGCCAGACAACAATGACGGCTGCAACCAAAA